TAACTGGGACTATTTCGCTTATCCTATCCCAATCCCTCAAAGTAAACGACCCCTAAATGATTAAGAAAGTGGATCCCGTCATTTTGGATTGATCAAGTCAAAGTTTCTGAACTACACGAGTCTTGAAGCAACTAATTAAAAATAAAGTTCCATACCAAGAAGCAAGAGAATTTAATCCACAACAATTGTTCAGAAGAATTCAAAGATATTGGTCAGAGAACAAATAAGCAACACAAACTTATAGCTCTAAACTCATGACAAATCCCATAAAAAAATTACTAACGATAAGTGGAAAGTAAATGTAATATAAATTAACAAATGTTTCGCACAGGTGATTACGGTGTTGGAGGGATGGAAGTACTGAAGAACTAAAAGATAGCATTAAGGACTAAGAATTGTGTCAACAAGAACTAACATCATTACTCATAAAGCAATTGACAACTCAATGATGGTTTTGTGTTGCAATGTCAAATACCTAAACTAATTAATTCACTATCAATGACAAGGGGGGAATAGATGCCGTATAATTCTTTACTATTCTAAAAAGTAAAATCTTAATAAATATGGCGCCTAACCCCATCTTTCGGCTCTCCACGCAGACATTTAGACACTAAAACGGTTTTATCAGTTCTTAGCAAAATATCCATGTTCTTAAGTGACCTCCACTGGCCAACAATCGTGTAATTTGGTCATCTAAGTCACACTAGGATTAACGAGCTTCTCATGTATTCTCTGGAATAACAATCCAGGACTATCTGTAAACTTCATTTCAGGAAGCTAAAGGTGGCTTAGCATTAAAAGTTAGTAATATTTGCAAATGCAAACAGAATATTAAATTATTTTATTGCGGATGTTCATTAAATAAGTTGTAGAAGTACTTATTTTGTTTGGAAAACTCATACCAATAATCAAAAGCACCCCTCCCATAAGTTTAAGAGGCTAACTAGACTAGGCAAGAGTCAGAAACAAGAGTCTTCAACACAAAACACTAAAAACTACTTCTATCTCCTTGAGAACCAATATTGTTCTTTTTTGGCAAACCAAAATCATTCAGCAAGTCTTTTTATCTAATGGAATCTTTTGTAGTTCTTATATACAAGAAAGTGAATCCGTCAACTAACTCGGCATCTTCAGAACAAAGTATCTTCATTTAATGAGAAAAGCAAAAGAGCTAAACATCAATTTCTGTTGAATGTTGTCCATGAATGTGTAGACTAAGAGGAATTTCAAACACCAACTTGTTAGGCAAATGCTCCAGCCAATGCATAATCCACAAAATGTCATCCATTTTTGCCATCATATAATTCTTTTTATTGTATGATAATATCCACAGATGGGATCATATAACTATTAACAACAAGAAAAAAGAAGACAAAAAAATCAAGGAAATTCCAAGACTTACAAAATTCCCTTTCCTTCAAATAGCACAAGAAAACCTTCAACTATCATCCTCGAGATTGACATCCCAAAGCCTCTTCCACTGATCTCCACAGTCGATTTCAGAATCAGGAAACCCGAGATCGACCCGGGTCCGGCAGACGGGGCAAGTCGGGTTCTTTCTAATCCACCTATCTACACATTTAGAGTGAAACAAGTGCTTGCAGGCCGGAACATTCCTGCACAAATCCCCCACTCGAAACGAATCCAGGCAGATCGCGCAATCCGAGGTCGCTGGAAATAACGAGGCTCCGTAGGACACGTCGGGGATTAGGGTTTGAATATGGGAAGAGGCCTCCGCGGAGGCGGCGGGATGGAGGCGGCGGCGGAAAGCGGAGGAGATGAAGAGGAAGTGGAGGAGGACGATGGCGGCGAAACCTAGGAAGAAGAGGAAGAGGGACATTATGAACACCATGATCACGCATTTCAGGAGGAAAAAGAGGAGTTTTTTATGGCTCCACCTCAGGCACAGCGGCGGCCGAAGGCGGCGGCTGCGGTAGTTTTCCAGGACAAAAGTCGGCATGAGGATAAAAAATTCAGCTAGATGTGTTGAATTACAGAGAATTTTTTAGGATGGAAATGGAGAGAGAGAACATATAAGAAAGGTGAAGACGCCGTAGGTTTTGTCCGTCTCTGTCGTTTCACACCTCCTTAAACTGGGGTAATTTATATATTTATTAATAAAAAAATAGTAAGTGAACAAAAAACAAAAAGAAAAAGGGGGAGTTGACCAAAATCAAAAACACGTATTCACTAAATACGTTTTCTTTACAATTTCACTGTAAAACGTATTCAAGGAATACGTTTTTCATATTTTTTTTACAAAAGAAAACGTATTCATGGAATACGTTTTACAATTAAAAATTGCAGAAAACGTATTCAGTGAATACGTGCTTTTCATTTCTTTCCACTCCCGCTTTTTCCTATATTTTTTTTTCTCCAAGTTAAGTTTTGATTTTTTTTTGGTAAAAAAATCCCTTAAACTGCACGCGGATTTTCTATTTGGGTCATTTACTTTACTTTGTAGGATATGATATGGCCAGAATAAGACAATTAGTCCCGATTATTCTATATTTACTTGCCCGGATTGAAATGGGATTTTAATGACATGGCACCCATGTGGCAGCCGTCCATCCCCTCTTATCTGATAAAAAAATCCCACCATGGGGGGTGTGATTATTTAATCTCGATTTTAACATATCTTTTCTACCCTCAAAAACTGATGCGAAAATATAAAAATACCCCTTAATTTGCCACAATTTACATCTTCATACCAATTAAATCTGACGACCAACTCGACATTGTTGCCCTACTTGCAGCAGCCACAACGCCATTGAAGAGAAGGTTATAGCTTCGGATTCTCCGTCCTGAAGGTGAGCTTTCACACTCGCCATATTTACCTATTTTATACTACATTTATTTCATTTATGTCCGTTCTTCGGAGGATTCGTGGTACAAAGGTTGAAATCGAGCATTTTGCCCTAATTTCTGCAGAAAAGACGACGACCTAGTTGTGAAGCTTTAAGGTTCGGATTCTCCGTCGGGACTACAAGTGAGCTCGAAAATCGCTATATTAACCTTTTTCATTGTATTTTGCCCTAATCTTATTGTTTGAAGATTTGCGGACCTCTGAATCGATTTTTCTTTTTTTTTTGGGTGCAAAATGTTTGCTTCTCTGGAGACACCCTCATCTCCAGTCGCCAATATCACTCGGGTCTTCTCCGTGCCAGTTGTAGGTAAACAACTTATTAGCATCTTATTGCGGTTTTGCCTCGTTTTCAATATAATATTGGATATTCTGTTCATTGAGTTTACATGCTGAAAATTATGAGTTGTCAGGCTTAAAATTCTCATGTGTACTATGGTGAGAACCATGCATGTTTAAGTGTTAGTAGGTTTGTGAAAAAAAAAAGCATGTTTTGTGCTTTTTTGCCTTGCTTGCTTGATTTTATTAATTGTTGAGCCTCCTATATTTTATATTTCCATGCTGATTTTATGAGTTTTAATGAGTTATGATTCAACCACAAAATTTAATTCTTCAGCATTCTGACTGTGGTTAAAGTTCAATATAAAACATAAAGGTGAACTTGCTAAAACTGGTTGAGTTTGGGTTAATGTTGTGTGGGTTAATGTGGTTTATATAGCCAGTAAATTTTATTCTTAAGCATTCTGATTGTGGTTAATGTTGTGTTGGTTCTGTTTCATTTTGTTGTGAACTAGCTGAAACTTGTTGAGTGTGGTAAGGTGCTGCATAATTTTCAGAGTTTAGAAGCATGCTTTAAGTTGTAAGTTTTAAATAGAGTTGAAGAGACATAAAGGTGTAGAATGTTTTTTCCATGCAGTCTTTTTTGTGTTTAGCCACACAATTTGTTTGTTAAGCATGTTGATTGTGGTTAAAGATGCAGAGAAAAGATAAAGGTATGTTGTGTGGTTTCAGTTTGATTATCTTGTGAACTAGCTGACACTTGTTCAGTGTGGTAAAGTGCTGCAAATATGGTTTAATTTGATAGTTAGTGGGTCTCAATTTCAGTTTAAAAGCATGTAAGGTGCTGCAAATGTGGTAAGTGTTTGTCCTATTTTTGTTGCGTTTTTCGTTGTCATTTTGTCTTTCTTTTTTCCCTATGTTAGGTCTTTTAGTTAGTTTTTAGTCTGTTTTGTCATTTATTGCGTGTTTTGCATTATTTTGAGTGTCTTGGTGTGTTCCGTTTGCTTTCCGGTGTTTTTTGGTTTTGTTTTCGTTTTTGGTGTGCAGGTAAGAAGCTCCGAGAGGAAAGGTTTTCAAGATAATATTTGATGGGTTTGCATAGTTAGATAGAGGGGTTCATTAGCGACTCGTAGAAAAAAACGGAACTCAATTCCGAGTTAAAACGAACCCGAACGAACAAAAACCGTAAAGCCGCGCGCAGCAGCCAAATTTTGTTCACCGCGGCCGCGGGATTACTACTGCAGCTGAAAGTCGGGGCCGCGGAGCTTCCTGCTCCGCGGCCGCGGAGGTCGCGACCTGATTTTTAAAAGCTAGGTTTTGTTCGTTTTTTCGAGTACTTTGCATTGGGACTCGTTCCCAGACCTAATTTTTAACTCCACACTCGATTTTCACCCTTTTTCTCTCTAGAAACTTTGATTATTCATCTTGGATTGCACCATTACTCTTGGTTTAAGCTTGTAATTCAAATTCAACATTGGAATTGCGATTTATTGTAAGTTATTCTCTTTATTTTTAACTCATGGATAATGGTTAAATTGAAAGAGATGATGAATTGTGTTGAATTGATATTGCTTAGCTAATTTTGATTGCTAGGGATAGGGAATGATTGTTCATGTTTAACGTGTATCTCTCGGGCTTAAATTGTTCGTTCTTATGTACGTTGTTTTGATGAGGAATTGATGAATTTGTATTTGATAGATTGATATAATCAAAAAGTGACATTTCTATCTTGCTATTGGTGACAGTTGGATGTTAATTTGTCGAGTTAGGGTTTGTCAATTCTATATAATTAGTTGATTAATCACCTTCTAATTGACTTAGCGGCTTTCAGAACCGAAAGGGGAGAAGTCGTAGAAATAGGCTCAAATGAGGTAGATGATTTCGTAATTGAATAGTCTATAGGTTTTTGGTTGAAGAGTCGATGACCCGTCCCTTGTTACGAAAAGTTATTGGGATTGTGATAGTTGGCCTGTATTGTATGCTCGAGCTTGTACGTCTATGTTCCATCCCCTGTTACGAAGAGTTAGTGGGAGTGAACCGCTAGATGTCTAAGCGAGAGTGTCAATCTCGAACCGAACAATTGATTGCCTGGTTTTGCAAGAACTTGAATTAATTATCCCCGACTCCCTAGCTTTTTTTTCATTGTTTCGTTCGTATTTCTTAGGTAGATTATTATTTTTATGATATTTCTTAGTTGGTAATTACTCTATCCCCTATTTGATTAGTATGTTTAGGATTTATTTTCTTTTTATGTGTGATTGATACCAAAACTGAATTCCGAACCGCCTTCCTCGTGAGATCGACTCGAGGAACGAATTTTTCGATTCGGTACTCGGTAAAAATAATAATTTGTGCTACAACAGTAAGGTGCTGCAGATGTGAAGAGCCCTTTGTATCAATAAATATGCAGTGGTTTAGCTTAAATTGCAGAGCCCTTTTTTTTTTTTGGTGTTTTCTATGTTGAAAATGTGTCTAGTTTTAGCCATAAAGGTGAATGTTGCATGCTAGTATCATTAAGTTTTAAAAGAGACAACCTAGTACTGTTGTTGTCTTTATTCTTTTGTGCTTCTTTGTCCTTCACCAATAGTTTATCCTTTACCAGCAGTTTTACATGCTCCATTTAAGAGGTCTACAAACCTTATTGAAATCTCCAATAGTTTATACAATTTTATATAGCAAGAGAAGCTTGTTTTGTGGTTTATTATGCCTTTTTTTGTTTCCTGTTGCCTATTATTGTTGTGGTTTTTCTTATGAATTGTGTGGTTTGATGTTCAGAAAGTGCTGAGAAGTTAGATTTAAACCAAACTTTATTGTGGAGTATTAATTTGTATGAATTAAAAACAGTGTGGAATGCTTTAAGCAATTTTTCAGAGAAACTCATGATACTTTGGTGTCCATATATTTATTAAACCTGACCAAGATTACAAATCTGACTACAACATATTGTATGGGGAAATTGTTGTGCTCTTTTTCTATGAAATTGCTAAACATTATTTTAACTCTCTGAATGCTACGTGCTTTAGTCATTCTTTTTGATTGTTTATTTAATAGGATCATTTCACCTAGTAATGGTATTCAACTGCATTAAGGAACATGTCTGAATAGATGTAACTGAGATGTGTATCTTTGCATTTCTGTCCCTAAAAGATTTTTGTTTCTGATGCTTATTTCTGTTTAAATACTTCCGTGGTGGCATATGTTGAATATGTTGAGATTGTCATCTGATTTTAGTTGTCCAAAACTGAGTAATGAATTGTCCAAAACTGAGTTTTCTATAATTCAATTGGGTATAAAGATTCATGTCAGTCTATCCTTGCACATAACATATTAAACCAAACTTTACTGTGGTGTATTAGTTTGTAGTATGTGGATATAATCCAACACTTTCTTTCTCCATAATGTCTAATTTTTTACACAGAGTTGACACACATTGTAAACATTTGAACCAAGTTTAACAAAAATAAATGTTTAGTAGTTGTACAATGTTCGTATAGGCCAACATTAAGATCACTGAATGGGTGAAGTCCGTATGTTTTTCAATCTTTGTAGATGGATAACGTGCGACACAAATTACTAATTCTCACTCTTTTGGAAGAGATTGTTCTCGGTGATCCTTTTTTTCATAGTAGCTAGTTACTACTACCACAAAATCATACTCCCTCGCCGCCGTCGATCTTTGTTGACTAGCGGACTCACATACCGATTGAGGGATAGAGTGCCCCTTCAAGTGAGTCATATGCAAAGGCTAGTCGACGTCAGCGACACCACTTGCCTTGAGAACCTCCGTATGGACAGAAACTGTTTTGGTCGCCTTTGTT